AACTGCTCCGAGCTCTTTGTCCTTTCTCAAACCCAATCAAGCAAAAGGCTACATTTCTCTCTCTTTGTCTCTCCCCTTATCTTGCCTTTGTTCCTCTTCACGGCGAGCGTTGAGCTTTAAATGCTTACCCCGTGGTTTTGGGTATGAATAGTGCGCTTATGTAGATAAACAAAACCTAAATTCTCTGCTTTTGCAATCGTTTGTAGAGAGCGGGAGAAATAAACAGCATGACAGTCAGCTCAGTTTTCTGATAAATGGCTTTAGGTGCTCCAGGAGTTGACAAAAAGGGCAAAAAAACAAAAAAAAGGGGGGAAGAAGATCGTGGAAGAGAATGGAAGGAAGATGACAAGATATGGTGTTTGTCTGATCCTTGAGAGAGGAGAGGTTTCATTACCTGGGGGACTTCAGCAGGGGATGTCTCGACGGCGGTGTGTGTTTTTTTTTTCTTTTTTTTTCCCCTCACTGCTTGTCAGAGTTGTGGCGCTGCTACATACACTTCTGTGTTTTAAGTCACTCTGGGATTTCAGTGGCACCAGCAAAAAGCCAGACAGCCCAGGAATCGGTCGTGACGGATGGCTATGTCTGTCCAAAGGGATAGAGGGGTCACCGGGGTTCACGGCAGTGATGGAGACACTTCCCTGCTCAGCCCCCATGACTCTTTTAATTAACCTCTTTGGGAGGCCCACTATAGGTAATCACCGCCTGGAAAGTCCCGTCATTAGGACTTATCTGACCTCTGTGTGTCCAGTTGTGTGTCCAGCTCCTTTCACTGCCTACTCTACCTCCCATTCAACGCTGTAATGACACTGCCACACTGGGGGGAAGAAGACTACAGCAGCGAGAGTCGAGAGAGCACTTAGAATTGTACGCAGCCCCTTCAGAGTTGTCATTTTTCCGTAACCCCTAGTTCCGGCTTCACACACACCTCACTCACGGCTTTGTTTTCTGCTCTCCATTCATCTCTCTAATTCTCCCCGCAAGAATTATTTCACAGCAAGGCAACTTCACTGATCCCACCAAGAGACGATCACAGTTTAATGGCAAATTAGCCAAGGCCCCACTTGCCAGATTCCTTTGTACCTTTCCTCCTCTCATCTCTCATTTCATCCTCCCTGCTCTTATTGCAGACCTTCTGGCCTCATTATACGCAACCAAACAAGAAGCATAGACAGAAATAAAAATTATCTTATTTTCCATATTAGACTTCTAAGGGACAAACAGGCCTCGGTACTCCTTAGGGGAAGCAAACTCCTCTGAGTGATGCCCCAGAACAAGCAGATCAAACGCCTCTCCTCTAGCTTCTCGGCTTTCTTCCTATCTCTCTATTTTGGTTGCCTTCTTTCATGTTGGGGAACAGTGGCTTAAGTGGCTCTATTGGAGCTCTCTGATGGGCTCTCAAACGAAGTCTTTGTGAGCTTGGGAAATAAATTGGTTTGTTCTGAGGCTGTGACTCCTGTGGCGCCACCTGCTGTTCCATCTCTGATCTCTGCCTTGTCCATTGAAGGGTAAGAGGGAGGGGAGGGGAGGGGGATGCAGGCAAAACAAAGTACACAAAGCTGGCAGGGAAGAGGTCAAGAAAAAAAAAAGGGGGGGGGGGGGGAGGAATGGGATGAGTCATGCAGCTTGCTGTGTTGGAGCATTTACATTTCATTTCAGTAGATGAGAGTTTTATACATGCTAAATGAACACTGTGTATTTTATTTATTCACAATGGAAGGAGGGGGATGAAGAGCAGATAAATGCACGAACCCACAACTCCCCCATGTGGACATCCGGAGCAAAACAGCTCTTAGGAAAAAATGTAAATCTTTGATGAACTCACTTTTCTGTTTTAATGAACTGACTTCTATCAGTAACACCTCATTAAAGCCATAATTACAACTTATGACCAACAAACAAACTGCAAAGTGTCGTGCTGACATCAATTTTTCTTTCGCTAACTGTTTCGTTATATGTGTAGTTTACTTCTGCCAATTGTTCATTTTGATTCCAAATTCCCTGTTTTTTTTTTTCATATCTTTTTTTCATATCCTCATTCACATGCAGCCAAGCAGAGTACTGGGGTTTTTTTTTTTGTCTGTGAGGCTTATCTGGGTCTTTGCTCACTGTGTGTGCTGTGGTGTTTGCATCCACACCCATGTCGCATCTGTGTGTTTGCATATGTCCTTTTGCCCACAATGAGGATCTGCATATCAGAGATCCTGGTTTTAGGCACTAAAACGGGAAAACAAAGCGTGGTTTCCTTCAGCTAAGGATTTTTGCATGAGTTTGTTTCTTTGCTGTTTATCTTGTTACAGAAAAGCCGGCACTTAAAGTGTGAAAATCAATGTAAATGTATTATGGATCATAAGCTGCTTCCCATAGCAGACTGATTGCTGTTTTAATTTTGCAACGAGAGCCCTTTATACTCTGATATCATTTACATAAATTTTGCCTTTGACATTTTAGCAATTGGACACTTATTCAAGGTGCTTAAGGTTTGAAACTCACGAGGACTGAAGAGTTTAGAATATGTCATTTGCTGTAGTGAGGCCTTGTGAAGAGATTGTGTAATGTTTCTTTCCACGTCGATTTAAAAGAAATAAAATAAAATTAAAAGTCTTTTACAAAGCAAGAGCCTGTTATTAACCTTTTAAAACAAACAGGTTAGCTGTTAATATTCCAGGTATATTTATTCAGCAGTGATAGAGGAAGTGCTGATATATTATCTTAACGTTGTGTTTTATTGACCTCGGTTTTGCTTCCTCGTTGTTTGGAGTCTCACAGACCACATTACTGTACAGCATGTGTAACAATATTATTTTACTTGTAAACTCAAATATTTTTCTCTTGAGATAGATTTTTACCTTTTCTGTGACCTGAACAACACGTGTAGAAAAGTACTGTGGCAACCTCCATTTGCACCTGCAGTGAATGTGACAAAATGAAAAAATACCCATGAGGGCATTCCTAAACACCAACAATTAAAAAATAAAAAATAAAAAATAGAATAAAATAAAGTAGGAAGTGATGTGTCACATGGACTCTGATGACAAATATGTTCATCACAGAATCTATCGTACATAATGACAGTACTTATCATTAGGTTTAACTAGCAGACAGCTGTGTTACATACAAATCAGTTGAAAACTGCAAAGTAAAACTCACATTTGGAATTTGGAAGGCATCATGTGGCACGAATACTACAGTCAACACCAAACACACAGCACGAGCCAGTGAAAATCCCCTGTATTTACAGTAACTTTATTTTGCAAATGGGGTCTTTGGAACTGCAAACAGAAGTCACTGTGTTGTTTTTTTGTACAAAACTTCTGAAACACCGAAGCAGAAAGTTGTGTTTATGTGCAATTTTTACATAATTATGGAAAAGCCATAAAGTGTGAGGGAGGTAAATTGATCTTAAGTGTGTTTTTGAGCTGTTAAAGAGATCAGAGGTTCTCCTGAACCCAAATACAGCATTAGAGTGAAATGAAAATAGTATTGCTGCAATATAATAGCACATTTATTTGGGGGCACATTTAGTGTGGTTTCTGAGGAGTTTTTTTTCCAGGAAATTCTGAGAGTCAAACCCTTTATTTTGTGCATTAAAGTGATTTTATTTATTTATATATATGTTTTTTGCAACAATTTGTCAAATATATAATGGAATATACAGTACATGGCTGTAATTGGAGTTTTTTTTATCGTTTTGTGGTTATAAGAGGTCATATTTCATTTTCATATATTTGGGAATAAAAAAAAAAAAATGCAGTGCTGGAGAAAAATGACCCGGTGAGGATTTAGTGGTTTATAGATAAAGGACGGATTATCAGAAAACAGATTAAACATCCGGAGTACTGGATACTCAGTGTCATTGACAATAAACAGGTGCAGTTTTACAGTTGAAACTATGATCGATCATATGGTATTGATGCTCAAAGTTGGTTATCGAGAATATGGGGTAAGGATATTTTTAAATTTTGGTTGTGACTCCTGGAATGGATGCAGTTTCTAACAGAGCTCTACAGTGTCTTGAATCCCTGAAACTGTTACGTTGTTATCACCTGTCCTAAAGTTGTGAGGGCTTGAACATGCTGGAAAAAGCAGTGCAAATTGGAAAGCGTGAAATTTTAACCTGCACCTGTGTACTTCAAGGGCCTGTTATTCAGAAAATATTCATAATATGAAGGCCTGAAGATCATATTTTGCATGGTTTCATTAAACTAAAGTGATTGTACATAAAAATTGTGAAGCTATAAATATACATTATTTTATTATGAAGTTATTGTGTTGTAGCTGAATCTGAGGTGGGAACTTTTTTCAGATTTATTTTACTTTATATGGAATTTATGGGGAAAAAAATAATAATTCAAAAAAAAAAAAAAAAGGAATTAAGCCTCCCAGCACTGTAGTGCAAAACTTATTCGGAAAAATCTTTAACTTATTTAATTGAAAATTAAATTAGCTACATTCCTCCACTGTTCACTGGTCCATATCAGCACAATATAGGGGATTAAATAATAGAAAAATGTGTCATGAAAGGCTAAATGTGATTTTTCTATGAAAAAAAATCTGTTATTCCAGTATTTCCACCAGTGAGGGACACTGTAATAGAACATGTGTGCTGTCATGAAGTCACAGCTTCCTGCTGGCATCACAGCCACACTCCCTTCCTGGTGAAGAAGTCTGTTTATAATGTAAAGACACTAAAGCCGATTATGACTGAGGCCCGGAGGCGGGGCAACTGAGGTAAACCAGCGATTTGATTGGTTGGCGGCGCTGCAGGACGTCTGACGTGACCAATTGAAGGGCGCAGTGATTTGTCACTGTATTTGACCACTCGACCCCTCACCTGTCAGCGGTTTTTGCACTTCTTCTCTAACGGCAGTTAGTTCTCAACGCCTTTCTGTCCCGCTAACGCACCCGTTAGACGGAACTGAAATGTTTCTTTTTAAAATGCCGGAGCACTAAGTTCAGTACAGTCTGTCCCTCGTGTTATCTGCTCCAGCCGGACTCCGGGAATGACATTTGTTGCAGCTAACAGGATGGAGTGGCTGTTCCAGCGCTGCCACAAAGAGGCTGTTTTGAACTCAGTCTTTCGCTCGGTGCTGCTCATGTCATGTTTGGTGAGCTCCTGTCATCATTTCGTGCACTTTTGTAAACATGTTGTAGCTGAAAACTTCGAGAGGAATGTACAACAAGAAGGTCAGGGATGCAGATTTTGCAGCAAATTGTATTTTCTTTGCAAATATTTCTGCAGGATTGTACGTGCCACGCTGGGCTTTGATGCTGGGATGCACACAGAAGTAGGACAGATTATAAATTGGTCACTGCGTCCACAGCCAAGGCCAATACTCATTTATCTGTGACAGGCAGTCGCCAAATAATAAGAGGATAAATACTGAATCCAATCCAATCCAAACATGGCAATCCCTTCAGAGGGCTGCAGATAATTAAATTGAGCTATAACTTCCCTTCATCCAAATATAAAACATTTAACATCCGAATGTTCATGTAATTATACAGGCATCACTGAGGAATGGCACAAACATGCTCTTAAAAAGTCTTTGAGGTGACTGGAGATGTGTCAGCAACTCTAAAGCTCTTGTCCTCTTGCTCCCCACCCGACTCTCTGCAGTTCCTGGTCCTGACCGTGTCCATGTATCCTGTGTTGTGGTCCGTCGGGGTCCAGCTTCATTCAGTCTTCACAGGGAGCTACGTGCCGGGTCACCATTCTGTGCTTCTCATCAACAGCCCCAACGAACAGGCAGCCAAGGACATTGGCAGGTACAGGAGAGGGTGGTCGTTACAGTCAGGTTGCATTTTAAAGTGTTTAAATGTGATAAAACTGGACACGTTTCATTTTAAAATGTAGTTTAAACACCTTCAGAGAGGAATGTATCACTAACGTATCATTAAATGTCATTAGGACCCTCATGTCTGTACACACTGTGCAGGGCCGGTCCCAGGATTTTGGTGGCCCCAAACAAGATTTTGTTTGTGCCTCCAAAACACACACAGAGCTATAAAACTGTAAAATGACTATAAAAGCAATATCAGCGCATAAGATCTATATGGCAGGATGATGTAGAAGGCTATAGTGCCTCCAATGCAGCGCTTTGTAGAATGGACTGACTGCACTTCATTGTCGTTTTGCGAAAGGTTGTAGAAAAAAAAAAGAAGCTCTTGTGTGTTTTTATTTCTTTGAAACCAATCACAGTCATCTTGGGCAGAGCCAAGAACAGCACAAGGCCTCGGTGTTTGCTCAAAGTAGTGACCAGAAATTGTTTTGATGGAATAAACGAGAAAAACTAGCAGGGCTGCTTCAGCTCACGATCCAAACCTTTGGTTAAACTTGTAATTTTCAGCATGCAGGCTGCTGTTCAGAAGTTGCCGCTGTTGGTTCCTATAGTGAAGGAAGTTTCATAAATGCCAGCACATAGGATAGCAAAAAAAAAAGGTGTGTTAAATGCACAGCTGATGGCGAACTTATATCCACAGTCTGCATCTGCTAAGTCAGACTATGTCAGTTATGAATAGTTGCCCTGAAGAGTCTGACAATATTCCTTCAGGAGAAATCATATTAGTTGACAAGGTAAAGGGTCCTGGTGAGCAGAGATGCTCCAAATATTTCAGGAGCACCCCTAAAAAGATCACACATTGATCAAAATACCAGCTACATCCAACTAGCAGACAATCAAAGCTCGCCTTTATAAGTATTTAATGATGCTTCTAATCCTGCTCACGCGATCTAACAAGCAAATGGCAAGAAATCACAGTTGTTCTACTGAAATACATTCCAGCTAAATTTAATAATAGATGCACTGCTTTCCATCCAGCTTTCCAGGTTAACATCATCGTGGCTACGTACAGTTCAATTTATTTAATAACAAAACACTTGTAATGTTGCAAAAATCTATTTACTCAGCATTCAAAAAACAAATGCATACTACTTTAAAATTAAAAAAAAAAAAAAAAAACATTTTAGAATCAGTGCAGGTGAAAGTTTGGAATACTTTCTGGACAGCTTGACAGGTCAAATCTGTGGCTTTGATCAGTCAGTCCGAAAACATGACTTTTTCTTGAAGTTTTTTACTGGAAAGCTGTTTTTTTTTAGTTGTTGTTTTTTTTTAATACATGAGCCACTTGTGCAAAGTCACAAGGTTCATCCAAGTAGGGCACGCATGGAGATTTATTGCCCCACTACACTGGCAAACTCAGCAAATCAAGACGGTGCTGCTACGTGACAACAAAACATCATGTTGAGAAATGAGCAGCACCGAAAGTTGCACTGATGGTGCGGCCCAGTAGTCCTGACCCTCAGCAACTGCACAGAGAGTTAATGTACAGCTACCACTAGCCACTTGGCTGAGCTCAGACACTGTAAGTACCTCTGAAACTGAATAATTAACACGTTATACTGCTTTTTTTTTTTTTTTTTTTCATCTGTGCAACAACAGAAGTCGTGGTTTGATTCGATACGTCTGCCAGTTGCCTAGCAACCTCATGGCAGCAACAAAAGGAAAAGTCTTTGTGCACAGCCAAGAAGTAGTCCAGCACAAAAACATGCACATTTTTATAGTTTTGCATTATACACAGTAAACACACAAGATGATACATTTTAGTAGTGAGTTTTACACATGCTTATAGGTTGAGTTAGTTGTCTTTGGATGCAACCAGGCTAACTGTTTGCCTCCGTCTCCAGACTTTGCACCGCTGGTTTTAAACTAATTCAACAAAAAAAATTTCCCCATGCTGTTGAACTTTACATTTAATCAAGATGTTTATTTCAAGCCTCTGCTTTGTGACTTGTGGTTTGCAAATTAGTCAGAAGCGGTTTAAAAAATTCAAAGTCAGTCCGCCCAACACAAGTTTGACTTTTCTGTCTAGAGACGAGCTACATCATGTCAAACCCACAAGTGGAGGAGAGCGCTGTGTTTGCACTCTCATCTCCTTTGTTGGCATTTTAGCTGCATGCAAATGAGCTCTTTCTATTAAGCAGATGTCAAGAAAGTAGCCACAGTGCGATTTCCAAGTATGTAAATCACTTTCCTCTAGAGCCCCTGGCTTGAGGAAGGGGGCATAGCAGAGGTGGTAGTAAAATATTATATTAGCTGAGCTGTAACAGAAAACAAAAATTGGCCGTCTCTTTCTGAATTTACGTCATTAAAGTCCTGTCCTTCAGCCTGCCTGATGAGCGCCATAATGAAGGGCTCAGTTGCACGATGTAACAGATAAACAGCTGGTGGTTTGTGTTTAATTTCTATTACCTCTTTCCATGTTTCGTTTCTATTTCGGTTCCAACTCTTCTGTTTTTTTTTGTTTTGTTTTTTTTCAGAGCAATCATGGACAGACGGCTGGCAGCCAGTATTAACATTCTCTCCAGGACCTCCACAATGTAAATCACACTTGACCCCTACCATGAAGCACATTTTCTATCGAGCTGTTATGTCCCTCACATGTACAGACACAGAAATACAATGAACACGTGCTCTTTTTGTCCTCTCTGATGCATTGCTGATTTCCTAGGAAACCGCAAGGTGAACGGGCTTACATCTGAATGCTTTTATCAGTTTCCTTATCACTCGAAACTTGAGTGGCAGTTGGCCTTCGAAGCAGTCGTGTTTTTGTATGCATGGATTAGCTTTCCTGTTAATGCATAACCCCGAAAGGAACAAGGAAGGAAAAGCTCAGACTTTTGAAGAAGGAGGATAATATTTGGCCTAAAAATAGAGGATGTGGTTGGATTAAGGGTGAGAACAGTGATGGAGGCGGTCAGGGTGTGTGAGCGCAGGTAATGTGTGACCTTCAGTTAGATCCAGGCTTATTTAGTTTTAAATGTCAACTTAGATTTTGGCATTTGTCATGAAATATGCTTAAAGCCAGAAGCATTTTTTGGTTATATTTGCTTAGTCTGACTCATTGCATGTACGTTGCAGGTAGAAGCCTGACACTAGTCACACATTTCACGGCTTTCCTCCTACCCTCACGCTATCCATCCATTTTCAGAATCCACTTCACTACAGTAAACAGCAACGACTTCTGAGCAGCAACCGACCACAGTGAAGGTTTAAAACTTTGCGAAAGATTTGCAAAAATTCA